CCTATAGCTTTATAGGTAAAAATACAAAGGAATAAAAATATGTTCTGAATCCTTATGATGAATATGCACACTAGCCTCAGCAGGCTTACCTATACATCTAGCACTAGGGAAAAAAAGTTTGAGCATTAGCTTTTGGATATTAAGCTTCCAAAGACTTTGCATGAATGTGTTTGGTTTGGGGGTTTTTTGTGGGTTTTGTTTGGTGGTTTGTTTTTTAGAGGGTTTGGGTTTTTTTAAAATTATTAACAGCACATCCTTCTTTTTTCTGGTTATTGGAGTTTAGTTCAAAGCTTTATGTAGTTTCAGTAGAGTTTCAATACTAGGACGGGCCTTTGGGCATTATCAGCTAGTTTTGTAAACAAATTTAATTTGTATACCATTGTTATTACAAGATGGTATATAATGAATAAGATAAGAAATAGACTGCCTAATCTTTCCAACATGCATCAACCCAGAGACGTAACCTGGAATGAACACATAATTTCAGCTGATATCTTGGCTGACTTTGCCCCGAACCAGATGATGAGTTTTTGCCACAGAAAACTATTGTGAACCAATTTGTGGGACAAACATCAAGCTGTCACAAAAAGTGTTTCAAAACTACTTTAAGATATTGCCCTAGAGAGTAGCCTCATGTATTATTTATAAAGGGGCAGATCTTTTTCGTTCAGCACTATTTCCACCAGAAAAAGCCACCAAACCAAAAAAACCACACACTGATGAACTACTCACATGGGTAAGGCAAAGTGGATGTCACGCCCATTTATTATTTTTACTGCTCTGTAACCTAGAAGAAGTTTCTTGCCTCTGGCTTCTCACTTATGGTTAAGTTTATGACCCCAGGCCTAACCCTAAAAAGATGCTGAACTTCCTGCGAGGTCCTGAAGAAACACAGCCTCCATCTGACTTGGCTGGATCAGGCCCTTTGAGCGACTGAACTAAGAATATGACAAATCAGGTATACAATCCCGGTATCATAAAATATGAAACTGAAACTATTCCCTGGTGCTTTCCTGTAGACCACATGTTTTTAAACCTTAAAAAGATTTATTTCCCACTTTTCATGCATAATCTGCCATATTCATTATTTGAAATATCCCATAAAGAGATTAAATAGGAATTAAAGTCTGGAAGCGTCATATCCATCACTGTGGTACAAATGGATGCTGAATTCTAGAAGTCATTTAGCCTTGTATGTAAAGGCAGTGGCCGTTTTCACTTTGTTTCACAAAGAATAAGGAAAACACGATACCCCAGAAGACTTTCAGATGTGTTTTTTCCCCTCCAAAGAAAAGGATGGATGATAAAGCTACACACACCTTTTAATCTTCCGCTTAGGGTGGGTTTTGGTTTAGTTTTTTTTTTTTTTTTTAACACATATATTCCCTGGCAAAAACCCCAGGGTCTTCTCTCTCCCCTCCCCTTCTCTCAGCCCCTTTCCTGCCATCTCCCTTGCTATAACTCAGCTAACCCAACAGAACCAGTCAGTTTTAAATTTCAGTTGGGACCCCGGTGACCTGTTAATGAATCTACAGAGAGGAGAAAAACTCACAGTGTTGAGTTATGCCTGGTGTTGCTAGCTGACTTGGAGTCAGAAATGCTTGAAGCGTTAACGTAATTGCAAGAATGTGAAAAATGAAGCGTTGGGCTCCTGAGCAAAGCGAAAGGTCAAAGCAAGCCCTACACAAAACAAGTCTCTGGAAGATGGCCTCATTAGACCATTAAATCAGCTGCTTCTTTTTCTCCTTTGTAAGATGTTTAGAGTGTTTTATTTTTATTATTGAATATATTTAACTCTTTCCAGGGCAAGGGGAAAGTTGATCAGACCTACTACATAATTACTAATCTCTAAAATAGTATTGCACTGCATTGATCTGCATTTGTGGATCTGAACTGGGATAAAGTCAATAAATGCTTGGTAGATTACAGGTCACTAGTACTTTGGTTTGCTAGATGATCAATATGTTGTATAGCTTAGTTTTCTGTTGAACAAGTGAGGTGACATGTTAAGAACAACATAGACACTCACCACTAATAAAATTAGGATAATCTTTCGACATATACTGCCTGAAGGCCCTTTCCTTAACTCTTTCAATGCCAGCATGTTTCTAATAATACCAAACCTTGACTGGATTAACCCTTTTGATGCCAAAGGGCAGTCATGCCTTCTCGTGGAGACACTGTCCTCCATAAACAGACAAAACACCTACACCTTTTTTGTTTGGCTCTAACTTTCAGAACTATGGATGGATTCTTCTGTGTAATAAATAGATCTACCTCATGCAGAGAGAGTCTGCAAAAATAATGTCGTCACTCCCCCAACTCCTTTCCATCTCCCCCCCTAAAAAAGAAAATAAATAAAATGACAAGCTGCACATCATAGACTT